TTACACGGCAAATTGCAGCTTAAATGCCCCTTAGGAAGGGCACGTAAACCTCATTACCCCAACCTTAACCCCATGTGCCCCAGTGGATCTGCTTACTGGAACCAGTATAGACTGTGGTGGTGTGTGCAAATGTATAATGGGTCGTCATTGACATACTGTAGAGCAGGGGTCGGCAACAGGCGGACCGCGGTCCGGATGCGGACCCAGACGCCCACCTATACGGACCCGGACCTATAATCAATACATTAATAGGGGATTTCAATTTTGACGGGGCGATTCTATTTTAACCGCTGCCGACAGGGGGGCGAAAGAGACGAGTGAGCGATACAGAAGAAGAGACGAGAGCGCGGCAGAGAGGAAAGTGAGAGAAGAGAATAATTAGCGATACAGGGAGAGAAGACGGAGAGGAGAGTGAACAAGCGAGTTAGCGGTAGACAGGGAGAGACAAATAATTACACATGGCGCTATTCAAGAAGAGGAAAGTGGACAGTGAGAAGAACAGAGCTTTTAACCCTGAGTGGACTCATTCATTAATGTTCATCCTGCCCACTGGGAGCACAGAACCAGTGTGTCTCATTAAAAGTGCCAAAATGCCACTATGAGACAAAACACAAAGTGTTTGACCAAACATTCCCTCTCAAGTCAGAACCGAGGTCACAAAAAATAAGCAGTCTCAGAGCCCAATATGATCAGTCCACCTGCATCAAAATTCAAACTAAATATGGTTCCAGGGCAGGCTAACCGAGGCAAACCAATGAGCACCTGCATGTGTGTATGAGAATGGCCCTGACACCATTTCAGCCCAGATTTAAACTCCTGGCAGGACAAGCTCCAGCTCAATTCTCGCACTGAATTAAAACAAAGTGAGTGAGGGACTGCAATATAAGAGGGAAAGAAAGATAAACTTTAAAACTGTTCAATTGTTATGATGTGTAAACACTGATATTGTTCTATAATCGGCTGAAACTGTTAAGTCATGATGTGAAACGGTTAACAAAGAAAAAGGGAAACTCAAGCTGCTGCTACACTTTATTTTATTTATCTCAAATTAAGCACTTTTAAGATGCACATATTTTCAAAAGCTATTTTATTTATTTTCTCCTATTTTATTTTTAAATGCAGCCCGAGAGGAACATTACACATATCCACAGTATTTACTGTATATCTGTATAGTTCAATGTTCATTGACAATAAATATTGTTGTTTATGAATTGTACTTTCTTTATTTGATTGGCAGTCAGTTGTTGATTACATGCAGACGTTGATAAAGCTACAGCTACTTCAATATATATCACACTAATTCATAAAGCAATTTAGACATTTTGATGTTCCGGACCTTTGCATGGGGAGATTTACTCTACCTGGATCTCGTTGAATTTTAGTTGAATACCCCTGCTGTAGAGCATATGTCTCCTTTTGACAGTCCTTGGTTAAATATGTCCTAAATGAATACATATAGCTGCTGGGACTCAATGAGAGAGTGCATGAACAGAATAAAACAAGTCTGACATCGCCTTGAAAAAACGACACGCAGCTGCTTTACACTCCTCGCCGTCAGAGTAAAAGACAATACATCAAACTGGTCCTCTTGTGTTTACAGTGCAGCAAGTCATTATTTACACACTTCAACTGAAAAGCCAATATTACATTTCACCACAGGGATATCCAGTATCACTATGCAAGGAGATTCAATCTAACTGACAGTCATTTTACTCAGATGCAAAATATAAACAGACTCCACCTGTCGAGACAAACATGAGCAAACAAATATGCCTGAGGACCAGAGAGGATGTAGCAATGGGATATCAGTCGGGGGGAAGGTTCAAACCACTCTTCAACCTTCACAATTATTTATTTTTTAAGGTCATTTTTGATTTAAGCCTTAATTTAAGCAATAGATTTGGGATTGCAGACCTGATTCGAACCTGCAAAATCTAACCTTGGTACATGACCCCTCGACATAATTACCCTAACCGCACATCTGTAGTCTCTGTCTGCATCTTGCCCGGCTCTTTCATTGTTTAACTTATATTGTGTGCATAATATAAGTTAAACAATTAAATATGACCAATTAATATAATACCATACATTTTAATAATTGCTGGAAACATTACCTTTTGAATAAAAAAGAGATTTTTTCACAACTTATTTGTGCTGTTTAGTAAACTTGGCTGTGATATTTGGTGAGAAAAATGCTTGGCAAGACAAAATAAAACAACCATCTATTTAAATCACTTTCATGTCACTTTCCTTTGGCTGCAGTGAACAAATGCTTTGAGAAAAAGAAGCTTTGAAGAAAAAATCTGTGATAGTGAGCACTTCTCCTTTGCCGAGATAATCCATCCCACCTCACAGGTGTGGCATATCAAGATGCTGATTAGACAGCATGATTATTGCACAGGTGTGCCTTAGGCTGGCCACAATAAAAGGCCACTCTGAAACGTGCATTTTTGCTTTATTGGGGGAGTCTGGGGGGTCCGAAAACCAGTCAGTATCTGGTGTGAGGGGTAGGGTTAGGGGTAGGGTAATGTGAATCGAGTGGCCTGTGTTCGTCGTCCATAACATACGCCTGCCCATACCATAACCCCACCACCACGGGGGGCCACTCAATCAGCATCTTGATATGCCACACCTGTGAGGTGGGATGGATTATCTCGGCAAAGGAGAAGTGCTCACTATCACAGATTTTTTCAGATTTGTGAACAATATTTGAGAGAAATGGTTATTTTGTGTTTATAGAAAATGTTTTAGATCTTTGAGTTCATCTCATGAAAAATGGGAGCAAAAACAAAAGTGTTGCGTTTATATTTTTGTTCAGTGTATACATATTTCACAATACAAATATTCAAAAATAGAGATTGTACAGTTGGTGAAAATTACGAAGAAATTTGATTTCAAGTCTTGGTTCTTCTGATGTCTAAACTTCATAATGTTGAATAAAAATGAAACATAACTAACTATTTCTCCTCAGACAATGTACAACTTGGACGTGCACTGCCACACTGCAGTTGTATTTATTTTGGCAATCAAACTATATAAGAAACACAAAGAGCACATCATCAACTACTTTTGAAAATTGAAATCATTATTCCAATTCATGCTGCCAGTCACCTAGCAACACTTGACCTCTACCAGAATAGCTTTATTTTTCCAGTTAAAGCCCCTATTGTATTTGAGTTGACATCAGTCTACCTTTCGTTTTAATTGATTGAAGGATGTCACAATATGGCTGGGAGAGGTAATTCTTGAGGTTTACAAAAAGACAGTCGGTGAGAGTTCGTTTGAATAAAAATAACCTATTTTCCGAAGCATCATTTTATGTTTTAACATTTTAATATTGCAGTTTTCCGATTGACCCCCTAATGAGAATATTGTCTCTTTATCTAGATGATTCCATAATTTCTTAACCTAAATCTGATTTAAAAAATAAACATAAAACAAGCATGAAATGTCAAAACATGTTTCTGCACCTGTGATATGGTGTACTGCTGCAAACATAAAAGCTGCAGCCTCTCCGCCCTCATGGCACTCAGTTTGAAAGCCCAGCATTAAAAGCATATTAACCCTGTCTGGCAGTAAGTGTAATGGATAAATCCAGAGCCTCTCCACCTGCTCCCTCAATGTACTCCTCTCTGCGGGGGAGCGTCAGCTAAAAGCCTCACATGTAAGCAGTGCTCTTCGGTATGCAGCACGTAGTCTCACGCTGGATGTAACACTGTGAGACGAAGGTGTTGATGAGTGGACCTGGCTGCTCAGCCCGGCTCTGCAGTGGGCTTTGATTAGCGCTACAGCTGTCGGTTTTGGCAGGAAATCCCTCACTAATTTGGCAAATCTCACAAGTGTCTGCTGGTTTCCTCAGCACCCATAGTAGAGAACATCTCGTCCAGTCTTCGCCTATATACTTTTAAGTATTTTGTCTGCTGATGGGCTTTATGATGCAGTGATGATATGATGAGTGACCTTCCAGAACGCTTAACCAACCAACCAATGAATCAATCTATATATATCCCAAAAACACGATGAGAGGTTGCGCTAGACTTTTTCGCTGCCCGTCATTTTGACGGACAGGATCGTAAAACTTCCGGCAAAATCCAGAATTACCCGTCGGCCTTTACACAACTCTGACGAGATGAGGGGGGGGAAGCATGCTCGTGAACTGTCAACGGGGGGGGGGGGCAGTTCACATGCGCCGTGTTATGCATTGCTGCTGCACGTCGCGGGAGCATGCACAGCGTAGAGCCAAAACGCACAGACATTTCAATGATTTGTACGGCACAGTTAGGTTAGGAGACAGTATGATTTCCTTTTTGGAGGGCATGCATAACACCGGAGCCTCGCTGCGGGGAAACTTTGGCGCTGTGTTCCGAGTTTGTTCTAATCTGTCAAAAATGACGGACTGCTTTCAGATTTGTCCGTCATAGTTAAAAAAAAATCCGTCATAGTCGGAAAATATTCGGTTAACGCGACAGCATACAGCATCCTTCGACCCTCGTAGTGGAGAACAAAAAACGCCACAAATAAAGGGGAAAATGGAAGAAACCTCGGGAAGAGCAACACAGGAGTGTCTTGCTGCCTATGACTAAAGACAGGGAACATTTGCAGCTTTTATTTGTTTGAATACAGTCAACTAACTGCTAAAAGTATTTTTTGTACACAGAACCTAGCTTTGGATTCACTGTCTACTCTATCTTCAACTCTAACTGTCTTTCAGTCATATAGCCTTTGTTTATAGTCCCATTTATGCATGGATGTAACTTTTTTGCTAACCTGCAGACCTTTGATTTGCTTGGCATCGGAAAAACTACAGTGCAATCTGTGGTTTGATTATTACTGAACAAATAATGAACACTCCACTCCTATCTTATTTAAGTAACAAAATGATTTGAACTCTTGATTTCCGGGACACAACTTATCTCCAGTCTATTCATGACAAACCAAGGAATACTTTGCAGATGACAAAGAAACTTTATCTGATCTGTTTGCACGTGTGTGTCTTTCAGAGCCCTACAGCCCAGCGGTGTGGGTGATGATGTTTGTGATGTGCCTGTCGGTGGTCGCTGTCACCGTCTTCATCTTTGAGTTCTTTAGCCCCGTGGGATACAACCGCAGCCTGCAGAGCGCCAAGAGTAAGAGACGGAGTCACTCAAGCGCCGGCACGCCAATCAACCCACTGCCACTGCTCATTTCACTACATTATTACCAACTTGTCACTTTTTCAGTTATGTAAGCGAGGGGGGGGGGGCTGATTTGAGAAGGGTGTTTGCTCAAATTATGCAAAGCGCCCTGCGTTTTTTCGCTGCACATGAGTCTAAACAATCACTTCACATCCCCAATCTGGCTTATTTATATTTAATGAAACAAACACTGACAGCGCAGTGATGGTTGACTTTGACATTTGAACAGTAGTTGTCAGTTCATCATTTATTCCAAAATGTTTACCGGCTTCCCCTCTGTGCCGACATATTCATTTTGATGCGTCATTTGGAAATGTTATTCATTACTTTCTAATAAATTGACACAAGCGGAATTATATATATTTGGAGTGACAAGTAGGTATCTGTTCATCACTGTTTGTCAGTTCTAGCTTCTTCTTTGCTAACATACCTCTGCTTCTTCAATCCTAAACACACTGTTTTGACCTATTCTACAAAACTTCTCAGATCAGTTGTGGTAAAAACAGTAAAGAAAAAGCTCAAAAAACGTAAGTAAGATCATAAGCAGAATTTCTTATGGTTCGTTAAATAATTCATAAATAAAAATGAATAACATTTGACCATATTTTACCACTATATAAATTAATTTTATTTCAGAAGTAATTATTTTGTAAGTCTATTAATATAATGTAGAAATGTGAACCTTTTCTAAATAGTTATTATAATCTCATAACTTTACATTGTTATCACATGAGTAAAATGTAGGTGTTCATGCTACATATGGTGCAGGTTTTACTAGACAATTGACTCAAATCAGTTAAAACACTTTCATATTATTTTCAAACATGTAAGGATGGCAAAGCTAAAGGAACAAAACGTAAGGAGCCATTCACATCTGATATCAAAGATCTCCATACATTGCAACTTTTAATCAGATGACAACCATGTGACACCCGTAAAACTCAGCTGAAAGGTCAAATTGTAACTACATTTAAACTTGAACTTAAATTGTCTAAACCATATAATTGCACATAAAGGTAGAATCCCAGAACCAGAAAGTGTTTGTTATTATACTAAATAACTTTAGATCACTTCACCACTTTTAAATTATCAATGTTTTAGGAAATCCATGTTGGATATCTTTCCTTAGGATACTCCAATTCAATGTAGGGTAAGGATTAGGGTTATGGTTAAGACCGTTTTTTATTAGTATCCTTATCATTTTGGTATTTAGCATCAAAATAAACTGTAGGCTAACCCACTTACTGTGATGGACAATTTTTGTTTTCAACGTTTTTTTATGACCAGTTACCAAATAAAGCCTGCCATTTGCTTTAAAGATTCTCCCATATCTTCATTTACCGCCATCTTTTTTTTTATACATTCTCTTTCATGGCAAAAAAGTTGACAACTCTGTAGATACTTCCAACTCTCATTATTCCCTCCATCTATACTGCACCATTCCCTTGATACCTTCAGACTGTGTTGACTCTTCTTCCAGCCAGAAATATTTCAGCACCTTTCATCTTGAAAGATCCTCTCCTTCTGAGGCTTCACTGATTATTGATTTGAACACAGAGGTCTTTCCTCAGCCCTCTGTTACGCTCCATCTCCCTTGTTTAGAAATTCAACATCAGACAGATCTTAAATCACTTTGGGCAGTATGTTCCTGCTATCACTGCAACCCACCATCATAATGATATTAACTATAAGGCTTAAAGTATTTAGGCATTATGTAGCTTTGGGCCCATTGTTTTTCATGGTTTAGGCTTGGCATTAGCTCTATCGCTAAGGCATCAACAAATATTCCAGACAAAAGTGGGCTCCATCTGATTGCAACAGCTAGTGTTTGTCCCTCTCTTGTGTCAACATAACAAAGCCCCAGAGCAAGAATCCAGTTCCATATATAAATAGTCTTCACACTTTGTTGTGAGCCCTGACATCAACCCCATTCAACACCTGTGGGACAAATCGGAACGCCAACTGGGAGCCGAACCTAACACCCAACATCAGTGTTAGACCTCACAAATGCTCTTGAAGCTGAATGCATTGGAATCACTGTAACCAGGTTCAAAGAAAAGCTTGAAACCAGAAAAGTAACACGTTAGTGCCTGTTCGGTTTTACTCCCACCGAAAGGGTTGTCTATTGATATCAGACAATGATACTACAGATTATTCAATTATTCTATTAAATGTTTCGTTTTGTTATTGCATTCATTTGTATAGTACTGTATCATGTCTGTATCACCTTTTCTTTCATTTGTATTTTCTTTAGTTTTACACGCTCGAAAAAAATAAAATCAAAATAAAACAACACGGGGCATGACCACTCAGCTTTAGTGTAGGATTGATGTTTATTTAATGTGCTCTTCTCCATTCAAAGAAGCACATGGTATCAGAAAGTTAGCTTTTCTTCATACAAATCCATTCAAAGTTAGATTCAAAGTTAACTTCCTCCATACACCGTTAGGTTATCAACCTAAGAGAAAATACATAATACACAAATTACATAAAGCATACACAACAAAAGTCTGTCACCATAAACACATATTTAATCCAAACACTCACCAGCTGCCCATGTGCCCTGTGGCTGATCCAAACATGAGTGACAAACATTTCACTGGCCTTTTTAAGATGGCTGACGGTCCCTCATCAAATAAGTCCCAAGGGAAACAAAATAGTGGAACCAAGGTTCCCTCCCAACTGAGACCTATTTTTCATGACAACCTGCACAACTAAACAAGTAGCTTAATGCCTAATGATTGAAATAAATAAATAGAAAATGAATGAATAAACAACCAAAATTAACTCCACAGTGCCAATGACAAATAAAATGCTAATAGTGGCTTTTTTATTGGGTTGATTTCGTGCTACGTTTTATTTCTGCCGTGAATCCGGTGCAGTAGCCGAAGAGAAGTCACTGAAAATAAACTTCTTCATTTAGTCATTCATTAATTTGGTCATGAATTCATTGATTTGTTTATACACCACAATGCAATACTGTTAATCCCAGCCGGGCTATGCAAGTAAATACTTTTTTATCCATTTGATGACTCAGTGTACTCCGGAACCCTGTAGTGTTCGATTATCCACAACACCAGTTAAAAGGGTTCAATACCCAACAAGTGCATTGTATTTGTCTTGTTATTGAGCTTTTGCACCGCAATAGACTTGTTTTTCCAGCTTTAGATTGGATGCTGTATGGCCTCCTGCAACCTCTCAGCACCTGTATGAAGCGTACAAAGATTTTTAATTTCCTAAAAACTGGATTTCTCTCCCTCTCTCAGAGTCAGGTGGATCTAAGTTCACCATAGGGAAGTCCGTGTGGCTGCTGTGGGCGCTGGTCTTCAACAACTCTGTGCCTGTGGAGAATCCCAGAGGAACCACCAGCAAGATCATGGTGACCACTCCGCCCGACTCACTCACTGACAAATGACCTGATTGACTAGAAGACTTTAATCTGATTATTTGGAGGGAAAAACCTATATTTTAAGATTCTCAAGTTTCACATAATTTAAACAACTTTTAAATTACTCTATTTCCTCCATTTGATAAAAACTTCCCTCACTTTAAAGGTCCCATGTCATGGCCATTTCTACTGATCATAATTCCATTGTTGAGGTCTTCTAGAATAGATTTACATTGTTCAATGTTCCAAACTCACATTGGTTTCTCATACAGCGTCTATGTATAGTATGTGTATTCACTCTCTGTCCTACACGCCTTGTTGGAGCTCCTGCAACAAGGAGACTTTAATTCTGGAGGGTTTTTTTTGCCTGTTTCACAACTCTAATTTGCATTATTATCACAACGAAGTTGAAACATATGAGTCATATGAGGCTATGCAATCAGTTCGCAAGTGTTTATTCACTCGTTTCCCTGCTGGTGGTCTTTTTGATACCTGCTGTTACACCGTGTCCCCACGACATAAAAAGGAAATCAGTTGAAGGCTTGCCCTCTCTGTCGCAGAGCAAAGAGCCACAGGAGGTAACAAACTCAAAGTGTCTCTTTTCCTTTTCACTCGCTGCACGAGTGCTTTTCACAAAAAGCCCAATCATCTCAAGAGCTCATTATGAACTCAATAGGTTTTGTTTTTTTTAAAGGGTGCAGGGGGGATACTTTTTTAAATGTTTATCAAAAAATGTACTTTTTAGCTAACCTTTTGTCTTTTTGCCACATTGCTGTGTAGATCAATGGTCTTGCAGTAATTTTATCCAACTAGTGTAGGTTTTTTCTGAAATATAAAGGAGAGAAAATAATAATCTGATCAATTTTCAAATCACATCCCCGTTATATCATATCAGACAACCACACCCAACCACAAGCAAAACAATAAAAGAAAGTATACATTTCTCTTAAAAGGCTAATTCCCTAAATTACTTCCATTATTTGTTGACATTTTCATACCTTCATAGGCCTGATCAAGGACATAAGTGTGTATCCCACTCTATATATAATTGACAATCCTGTGATATATGGTAGGTATCGTACATTAAAGGTTAATATGTTTTGGATCTGCCCATGGGGTCATGAAACTCACCAGGTAGCCATTTTAAGTGAGGAGTTCGTCCTCCAACTCTTCTGTTAGGACACATCCTCCAGCCGAGCATCATTGAACAAAAACGTAATGCCCATTCATTAAGATCACTTATTTTTAAACATGCTTCACTTGCCGGAGCTGAGAGTGTACATTTTGCATCTAATTCATTAAGAACATTATGCAAATTCACTTTTGGTATAAATACAGAGTACTGAAGAAACAAAATGCATCAGTGACAGAAAGTGCAAATTTAGAGCTAAAACTAACCAGAATCTTTGACTTTCTTTCTGGCTGAATGTCCACAGTGCAGCATTATGAAAACAGCACGTCGGCAAAGTTCAAGGTCTTTACATCACGTCCTCCAACAACCTTTCAGAGGATATTTGTTTGTGTTACAGTTATTTGGTTTCATCAAGTTGGGTTAGGGTTAGATCTAAAGTACAAATGCAAAATGTACTTAGATCTGTTACTTAAAAAGCACTCCCAGAATTAGAAAATACTCCTTTTTGTATCCTTTTTATTTATTGAGTTTGTTAACAGATGCCCTTCGCTCATACAAACTCATGTATTAAGATAAAGTATGGGTATCAGAAATAAGAATAAAAATAACAAGAATACAAATAACAACCTTTCAGAGGATTTTTGTTTGCGTTACAGTTATTTGGGTAAACAGGGTTAGGGTTAGATTTAAAGTACAAATGGGAACGTTTTCCTATGGTGCAAAAACAATGATATTAAGCAACCAGTCATGCCAACATTAATTACACTGTAATCTGAGTTGTTTTTTTTAACTGTATTGTCATACTATATCGTAGATATTTTATTTAAGTGTATTTGAAGTGTACTAAGTGTTATGTTCGTAACCTGAATTTAAATCAGGCTTTGTAATTATTTGAGTGACCGAGATCATGTAAGTGTATTTCAAGTGTACTATGTATTAATGTATTGAGCTGTACTTAAATCAGGTTTTTAAATTGTTTGACTGATAGAGATGATGCAATGTTATTATTTGTTTATTGATTGTTATGAACCTGTCTGAAGACCACAGATGGAAATGAGCTATTAGCTATAATCTGGCATATTGCATCTCTTCTCTTTGCTGAGATTAATGTTTTTGTATGCATGGTCCTTCTATAAATACATTTTTTTTTTAAATAAAAAAATGTACTTAGATATTTTACTTAAAAAGTACTACCATAATTAGAAAATACTCATTTTTGTTCAGAAAACGAAAAACAAAAAGTTAATTAAAAAAGAGAGGGTTTCATCCCTCCAATTCTATTCTATACACATACAAACACACACACCTATACCCATGTTCATATGTATAAATATGTATATATTTATGAACACACATACGCACATACACAGAACTGAAACAACCAATGAAGAAAAGGAAAATAGTTTTGGCCCTAATAAAAAAGGAAACGTAAAATAAAAGAGTCTTTAAAATACTCCTTATCATGTTCTCAAAGGTACAGGTGTCTAATATGCTATTATAAGCTTTAGCAGCAATATAACAAATAGGGATGCATTAATGCCTAATCAGGTGAAAATGTCAGTTGTCCTATGTGTTTGTATTGGATGGTGCATTTAGGCTGCAGGTTCAAGAGAATCAACTTTTGAACACTTTCACACTACAAGCCTGCACTCATTTTCATACATACAAATATAAATACTAAAACAATGAAAAACATGCAAATGCACAGTATACAATATAGTGCACATTGGCAGGTAGCAGAGAATGAATAGCATACATAATAAAAGAGAGCACATCATATGAAACAGAAACAGTCCATCTGTTTTCAATGTCTGTATGGCATAGGGAATAAAAGTCTTCTTGCTTTTGTGATTGATTTGGTCCCGAAGGCCAGACAAAAGCAGCTCCAACTCTTTTATAAAAGTGGATGTGAAGTTTCTGCAGTTATTTGTTGAGCTTTCCTGTGAACATCATTGTCGAATATGTGTGTTTTTCTGTAACTTGCCAATTACTTTTGCTGCAGTGCTAACTCCCTTGGAGAAATAGTGTTCTGCTCTTTGCACCATGCCATGATGTGATGTTAAATGGTAAAATGCTTTCGACCAGGCTTCTGTATGCTACGTCAAGTGTGTGTTGACTTGGCTCCTCAGATTCCTGATTGAACACAAGCGCTGATTGGCTCTCAAATCTGGTCCCATTAAAAATGAATGATGTAGGTAGGAGGGGGGGATGCTTTCCTCGCAGGCTATTACAACGTGTCACTTTGTGATCATTATAAATATAAGTAAGAAAAGGACAAATTCCGCAGTTGCAGTGACGTCTTTTTATGTGTCATGCTGACCAATTCGACTCTACGCTCCAGGCATGACAGAGCATCAGCTGTGGGTCTAGCGATGAAATGCCAAGAAGTGCAAAAACAGTGTCACTGAAATCTAAGAATACTTCCACACCTGTCACACTCAGCCCTTATTGATCTCAGTACTCTGCACCCCTCCTTCAGGTGCTGGTGTGGGCCTTCTTTGCGGTCATCTTCCTGGCCTCCTACACTGCCAACCTGGCTGCCTTCATGATCCAGGAGGAGTACATCGACACGGTGTCAGGGCTGTCGGATAAGAAGGTGCGTTCTGGAAGGAATGGATGAACTGGGTGATTGATGGATGAGTGCTTAAACAGGTGGATGGCCAGATGGATTGATAAAAAAACAAGAAATTGAGCTTAGACATGACTCAGAATGACGTGTCCTTTAACTAATGTTCATTTTAAGAAGTACACAGTAGCAGATGAGAGATACAAAATGAGATCATCCTATGTAGCTTCATGAAATAGTTTAAGTTAACAAAGGAATGAAGTTCTTCTTAGAAGTGTCCTCTCTGTCGCCTCTTACCTTTTTTATCAGTGCAATTTCACTGTATATAGAACCTTATTTTTCAGACTGCCCCCACAGCTCTTGTAGCTGACAGGCCTTTCTTTCAAAGTGAAGACTTTGAATGTGAGAAGCAGTTCATCCTGCGGCATGCAGCGATCCGCCTCTTTACTGACTCTTCAAATTCCTTCTATCGCTTTAATCCTCACCCACCTCCCTTCTTCTCCTACAGTTCCAGCAGCCGACGGAGCAGTACCCTCCGCTGCGTTTCGGAACAGTGCCAAACGGGAGCACGGAGGAGAACATCCGCTCCAACTATCCCAACATGCACCAGTATATGATCCGCAACAACCAGAAGGGGGTCGAGGAGGCCATCGAAAACCTCAAGACCGGGTAAGGAAAGGACAAGAGAGGCATAGGTCTTGTTCACAATGGGGACATGTCCTTACCATTTTTTGAAATGGCTGATGTTGTCCTTGTACATTTTTCTGAAGATAATTTATAAAATAAATGTCTGTAAAAAAAACTTCAACAAGACATTTGAACAAATTTCATTTTAGAAATGTTTATTTGCGCAATAAGAAAACATAAAGGGCAATATAAAAAGTAAGTCAATGAACATGCAATCTCACAAGCTAAACCCCCAGCTTGCTCATTATAAAATGACCGAAAATCATGCATGCACTGATCAGTAACTTTAACGATTTATAGACATAATTACTTGTTTTTTTTCCAATCTTGGTCATTATTCACTCTAACCTCATTCCGACCCATCATTACATTGCCTGAAAGTGTATATGTTGAAGACCTTCAAAACATTTTCGGACCCCCTATGTCCCCACCACTTTTTCCACAAAAAGTTTTTTTCTCAAACACTCTTGAAAAGTGATACAAAAGAAAGCGAACATAGGGGGGGGACATTTGAAATTAAATAACTTCTCAAAAAGAGGAAGCTAAAATGAGTGCCAGTGACAGAATATTTACATTGTATTTTGAAAAAATACATGTTTTTTCTGTTGCTTTACATACAGTATAAAGATGGTTGACAAAGTAAGGCAGGCCTGAAAGTAAGGCAGCAAAAGGAGTGCCTTAAGTGGGGGAAATGTTCCTGACAGAGCCTACGTCCACTCGTTGCCTTAGAGAGAATGGTCACTGCAAATGAATACGAGGTTCTGCAGAGGAATCACTTTATCCTATCATGATCAAATGTGTCTTTCTTGATGGGTGGAAATGCTTCTAGGAGGATTTCTCACTTATCTGCTGAGCATGGAGTCATTGAAGAGTTTGACGAGGATTTACAAAGGTGTGAATTATAAGCTTTGGCCTTTAAAGTCACCAAACCTCAACTCAGCAGAACTATGGGAGATTTTGGAGCCACCACCCAAACACACCCAATGATACGATATTTTCTTTTAAAGAAAAGTGTTATCTTCTTCAGTAGAGGTCCACCCCCAGACTTGGAGAATGAATGTCAAGGAGCACTTTAGCTGTTCTGCAGACTCAAGGTAGACGAACACCTTGCTGAAAGACTTTTTGAAACCTGTCTGTAGTCCAAAACACAAAGGCAGTAGGTCATTTGAGTTTTAAATGGCTCCCTGAGGAGAAAACAAATAAACTTGCACTGGATTGCCCTGCATGTATCTCTTTGAGTTGATGAGGATTGAAACATTTGTAGAATTGGAATCAAAGTCACTTCAAAAGACAGGTTTGGATTGGTCATTAGACAAAATTGAGTGTTGTGCAGCAGGCTCGAGTGCAACAAAGTGAAAGACAGTACTTTTGCAATCAGGAAAAGGCCGAATAGGGATACAGGAGGCAAGAGTTCACTGACTGGAAGCAATCAGGCTGTATCCAAGTCTAAGTCATCCACTGTCTCCATGCCTGCTGCTCTACTTTAAATATATACCTCCCATTCTCTTTGGTATTTTATTTTAACATGAGGCAAAGCCACCATCCTCGCCTTGTTCCTATTCCTCTTTTGTCTTTTCAACCTGTTAGCACATCGATCTTCCTCGCCTCAGGAGCGCCAGCTAACTGTTGTAACCCGTGCAACCCCATGGAGGGAAAAAAATAGAAGAACTTTTAAATAATACATGCTAGCAGCCGCCGCAGTGCAGGGGGAACATCCCGCAATCTCAGCACTTGCTGCCACTCAGGCGCTGCTTGTCTTTAACAAGGGGGGGTGGGGGGGGGGGGGGGGGGGGGTTTATTATCCGTCTGCAGGGCCACAAAGTACACAAGGCACTTGCCATAAAATATACACTTGCTCATCATGTTTAAGGTGGCAGGGGATTGATGCAGATAAAGGGGTTCAATTGTTTAATGGAACAAGCAAACGTACGCTTTTGCACAAGCAGCGACCGCGGCCCTTAGCCGATTTGACGTAGCGTGTTATTACAACTCCCATGATGCATTTATTTGTGTCATTCTTAGTCATTTGCCTTGTTCATCTTACATCAGTTTGTAGCTCTGTCTATCTCAGCCTCTTCAGCACCTCACTCATTATCCGCTGTTTATCTCCGTTTTGTCATTTTGCTTTCTTCCCGCCGCTCGGAAATTATTTACGAAGGAAACATTAGTCACCACCGTCAAAGCAAAGCGGTTTGAAGATTCCTGTTTGATTCGGTTGCGGTGCACCAAACATCACCTCTCCATCTCTGTCTCGCCTTCCTACTAACTCCCTTTTTATCACACTAATCCCTTTCTGTCTCTCTGGCCTTTTCCTCCTCCTTCATTAACTCCTTGCTCCTAGCTCATCAAATCCTTCTGCTTTTCACTTGCTTCCCTCCTCCCTTCCATTCCCTCTCACCCACCTCCTCCCCTTCTGCAAAATCAACCATCTTCCATCCTTCACCACAGTCTCTTCTCCTCCTCCTCCTCCTCCTCCTCCTCCTCCTCTCTTTTCAGGGAAGTCTTAGTGCAGCTTCCCAAGACTGAATATAAATGATAGTGAAGTAGAAGAGCAGGTGTAGTTACAAATCCATCATCAGATCCTGTGATCTACATCATCATTCTGAGCTTAACTGTTACATCCAATCCATTACTTTATGATAAAGTCTTTTAGCTCACTTCAGGCCTACAACCACCCCATCCCAATCTGTCTTTTCTGCTTCAAATTCAGCGGGGGGATTTCAGCAGCGGCTACTTTTTTTCATTGAGTTACATCTGTTTCTTACATTCCAATAGCTACTTAATCATTTCTTTTTTTAAACATTCTTTTTGGAGCCCATATGTTGATCTACCAATGATCAAAACCCAACAATATGAAATATACAGTGATAAAAACAATGAAATGCTGCACATCCTCATATTGATGGACACAACTTAAAGGTGGGGTAGGTAATTTTGGAGAAACCAGCTCGAGTGCGCTAGAATTTGAAAATACACAACCGGAAAAAATCTGCCACTTCCTTACAGAGCCCCTCCTCCAACACACAGGAACGCGCACATGACCAATGAGGGCACGAGATAAGTTTGTGCACAGATGGAAGGCTGACAGGCAGGTAGGCCATCTAGTTACTTTAGCCGGGCCGGCTCAGATGATTGGTCGTGCTTTTTACAGCACTACGGCTTCCATAGCTGAACTTTTTTGTATGGATTTTTTGTCAAAGCACTTCAGATATTCATTGCTATCGGGATGTTAACCAGTTAAGCCCTGAGCCTGTTTTTCAGGTTTCAGGCTCGAAAATGCCACTAACACAACAAATTATATATCTTCACTTCTAAAAGGGGTAAATTAATAATTATTTTTCTCAAAGCAAGGTTACATCTGTGAGTTGGATGTAGAAGTGTCAGAATCAATATAGATACTTTTATTTTAAAGTAAATTCAGATGGAACATAGTAAAAACATGTAAATTCTAATGTCCACCTAAAAAAAAAACGTTACTTATAGTGAAAACCACCCTTGCATGATGGGTTAGTAGACTAAAAGCTTTAGGAATCCAAACTATAACATATAATAAGTACCCTGTATCAAGATTGATGCAAAACAAGTGAAATTTGACCTTTTTAGAGAGATTTAGAAAAATAAAGTCTAAGCGGACTCACCTCTGGGTAATTTGGGAACCATCGGTTCCATTTGAACTTTTTCACTGTAAAAATCATTTTATTACTTTGAATTATCACTATAGGTATTCATTCCATCCAAATACAACTGTTGTGAAAAAAATAAAAAAATAAAATAAAATAAAACATAGGCTTACTCTTACAGTGAGCCTCTGAATTAGCCCCGAGCGAAAAATGCTAACCTATTACAGCACCGAAAATCACTCCTCGCTCCCTTATTACTTATCCTAGCTGCACATCCAACACATTGTTTATGATCGCAAGGAGACACAGAATCTAACGGTGCCCACCTGAACAGCCCAACACTGAAAGATACAAACTCGCGACGTTATCAACAAAAACGTACATCAAAACAAATGGCGCTAGCGCTAATGCGCTAGGCTAACAATGACTTACCTTCCTCGTTGTCTGGTCTAAACCAGTGCTTGAATTGGAATGAAAAAGGTGCCAGTACTCTAAAATCAGCAACTTTTTCAAGTCAATTGTATATATACAGCCCACAAACAAGAATTTGGCTACTATAATGCTGGTGGGTTTGTCTCTTTACTACTGTATATTTTAGAAAGGTTCACTGTACTTAACATTTTTTATGATAGGCAGCGGATATGGCTAAAGCTCAGTAAGGTCAATATTAACTGAAAATATAGCAATCAAAGTCTAGATCTTCTGCTGAAGACACATGAAGCAGAGACCTTTCAGGTGAGAGCCCCTCTGGTGGTGTTCAACATTAATGACAAGGAAACAAAGCTCTGGTCAGAAGCATTTTTTATAAAAAGCTTTAACAAAATTAAGTATTTCTGTACATTTTGAATGCAATCTAACTTTCCAACTCAGAAAACGAAAAAGTGCCAAAAGTCTTCTCACATGGCTGAGCTGCTTTGCAATATACTTCACCACTGAAGAATACAAATATGTATAAAGTAAACTATGATGCAATCTAACTTTCCAACTCAGAAAAATGATAAAGAGCATGAACAAAGAACATGTAAAAACAAATGCAAAATTTGCACAATCTAAAATGAGAAACTGTAACTGCAAGTAACAAAGTCTGAGCCATGGTAAAGAGTTACATTGAACACCAAGCTGATCAGATAACTCCCTAGTTGGTCTGAAGTCCTTCTATCTCCAGGATCTGTACAAATCGGCACATTATGCCAAAAGTCTTCTCACTGGGTGAGCTGCTTTGCAATATACTTCACATTGTTAGAAAAGGCTCCAGAAGGCCTTGGGGACATCAGTATCAGGGGCTGGAGCTGGACAGGCTCTTTCATCAGCACTTCTCCTTCCCTTTGCCAGCCAGGACCTCACATACTGTTCCGGATTGAACTGTCCTAGTGATGGTCCATTACATTTAATGAAAACCAGGCTGGACAGTCGGCTGACAGAGAGAGCATTCCTTTTTGCAGTAAGGATATCGTTCATGCAGCTGAATGCCCGCTCACACTCACTAGTGGAGACAGCGATGGTTCGGACTGCTTTCAGTAGAGGCTCCATGGCAGCAGGTGTACGGGATGCCCTGGTTTCCTTGTATTCGCGAAAGCCCTGAACAGTCTCTCTTCTGTCCACTTTCAGCACTTCGCACAAACGTAGCACCTCTACGTCCCCATACTGTACGTCTAACTCCTCTTCAGGCCAACTTCCAGGATGGATAACTTTCATGTCCTGGATTAGCTGATTGTCCCGGGCCTCCCGGCCATGTAATGGGATTTCTCTTGTGCTTGACATGAGAGGAGGTTGTGGAAGTCATTCTGTGTCTCAGATTCTCTACCATACTGCGGAAAAACTGACCTGCATGAATCTGTACAAGCCTGCCATTCTCACGCAGGGCAACACCCTTGAAGGACTTCTCAGCTAGAGCTGTATGAACTGTAGTCATGTGTGGGCCAAGCATGGTGACCATGGATTCAAAAACTCGTATTTCTCGAGTTAAGAGCCTATCTGCTGTAGGCAGTGTCATCTCTCTTTTTTGGAGTTGCCGAGAGAGGTCGCTGAGCTCTGTGAGCGCATCGTACATCAGTCCCAGATTGCTGACAAACGTTGCAGATGTGAGCACATCATCCAGGCCCTTGTACTTTGCTCTGTCTCTGGAATCCCTGCTCGTGTCGTTTGCAGCATTTGTGAAGTGATCATGAAGCACTCGGTAGTTTTCCCAGACTGCTCTGACGCTCCTTTCACTTGAAGCCACCCAGCGGATGGACAAAACAACGCCCCTATCACCAGGAGACGCTGTCCGACTGCTTGCGCACACTGCGCTAACTGCCTCTGATTTTTGGGGGAGGCATGGAACAAGGAATAGAGTTTGTCAAAAAAGATCTGGAAATGATTGAGCCCTGAGACCTCCTTGACCACATCCCCAACTGCCAGCTCTTGACGATGATTGGAGCAGTGCCACACAAACAGGCTTGGGAATTTACTACACAACTGGGTAGCAACGCCTGTTCTCTTCCCTAGCATGACTGAAGCCCATCACATGCAAAAAGAAACGAAACACTGACCTAAAAAGTCCTCTAGTTAAAATCTCTTCCAAGACACTCCATTAACGCCTTTGTGATGTCATCAGCCGTTGTTCCATCCAACTCGATCAGCTCCCAAAAAAAACGTTTCGGGCTCAGCATCAGCTAATGCTGAGCGTAGACACACAACAAGCACCGTTTTACCACTAATAGTGGTAGATTCATCGACCAAAACACAGAGTTTTCTTTAGTTTTCTGTAATGTCTTTTGCCATTTTTTTCTTCAGCTCATGAGCTATGTGGTCGATGATTTCGCCACAGGTTTTATTGGAGTGCAAAACCCTGCCCACGTTCAGCCCATTCAGTTTCTGTACATTCAAATCAATTGGCATGTCTGTGAATGGCCGGCTATGTTTGCCAATTGTATATTGCCGTTCGAAAAACTCTGATAGTGGTGTCTAATTCAGATTTATGCATAGACTGCACTTGATGTTGAATAGTTTCACGTGAAGCAGATGTAAGGATGTCAGCAGCTTTTACATGGGCTTGTGATTCTTTATGTTCTTTGATTTTTTTTCTCAGGCTAGCTTGTTGTTTGCCCTTGTCAACACCGAATGAGACACTGCACACTCACCCCATTCAGTTGACAGTTTCAGTCCTTGTCCAGTGTGTATTCCCAAAGATTTGACATCTCTGCATATCCGACATCCTAGCTTCTTATCTTTAAGAAGGAGCCATGCATTGGTCTTGCAAAAATAATTGCACCTGGTCCGTTGTCCAGCAGTCAGGGTGCATCGCTTTGCCCGGTGTTGGTGGTGGCAGTTGGCGCCAGCAGCAGCTAACTTTAGAGGCTCTGGAGGAGGCGGCGGAGCTAGTGCTAATGCTAATGCACATAGAACTTGGAGCAGGAGGATCAACCAAAGAAAGCTCCCCATCAGACACAATTTCCAACACAGGCACAGCATTCTCTGTATTTGAAGTTTCTTCCGGCGACAACCGCTGTCTTTTGCACTTTTATTAATCCACGCTAACATTTTAGAAATGCTAATTTGTGACGTGACTTGCTTTCCTTCTCTCGGGGGCGTGCCTGCTCTGTTCTATCACTCTACATAGCCACCCACTGGGTGGGAGTTGCACTGCATAAACACAACACACGTGCATCTAGGTATGTAAATTGTAAAGCATTAAAACATGGTTTTACTAACAGTTTTCAGTATGTTGTTACTTCGGCATTATTATTATTATTATTTTGAAACGTGTATTACTATTAAATCACGGTCAAATAGGTTAATTTTGACATAGTCGTTTCCACCACAGTATTACATGGAGAAGATAAGCCCCGCCCCCTCTCCAGCACGTTCTGTTTGAATGACAGGAGTAAACAGCTGACAGCCGCTGTGAAACTCCAGCGGTTAGAGCGATGAGAATGTCCGTTCGGCACCTCATGACGCATCTACTGAGTACCCGGGCGGCTGTATATATATATATGGATGTATAATAAGAACGGCGGGAGAGTGGTGAGTACTGGCACGGTGCATGAGTACCGGAGTACCGCCAGCATGCCGGTACTGAGCAAGAAGTGCCGGTACTCCATGGGTCAGAACCAGAAGTGCCGGTACTGCGTACGGTGAGTACCGGCCCAATTCCAGCACTGGTCTAAACTGGTCTTCAATGGCATTAAAACGATAAAAACGATGATGTAGTTAATCCATAGATTAATATCCAATGGGGCTGTGTCCCCCTTTGAAATGTTCTGATAATCTATAAGCAATAAACTGCCCAATTCCGTTATCTGCCTGTCCGCTCTGTGCTCCGTGCGCTCTGGGTCCTGCTGCAATACCTGCTTCTTTACGCTGTAAACAATAAATGAAGTGGGCTGCGTAATGTTGTTACGCTGGCTGGCATTCTTTATACTTTACGCAGGACCATATCTCTGGAACCCATTGGTCGATTCGTGTGATTTACACCTTTTCTTAACCATCAGAAACCAATAGAACGATGGGCAGTTCCCAAATCTACGTAAACATTACCATAGCGGACGTAATAGAGAAGCAAACGAAGCCATATCTGAAAGTGCAAGCCTGGACGGCAATACTTTATACCGAGTATATTGCCATAAATATGATGATTGATTATCAGTAAAAATTATACGTGACACAAAGACATTGGATTAACCTTGAGATGCGTTTTTTTATTCCGTTGAACAACCAAACTTTTGATCACAAATCAAAAAAAAGGTAAGACGTAATTATTGTAATATTTTTGAAACCGGATGTTGTTTACTTTCTCTTTTCTGGCTGATAGCTCCAGGAATTCGAGGTCGGACAGTGATGACATTACATGTGTGAATCTGTGGAGTCTCAGCTTAAATCGTATACTCTTGTTTGTGCAGTTAAGATAGTAATAAGGGCATTTCTACCGTGTGTTGTGTGTAAAAAAGCGTTAGCATAGTTAGCATTTTTTCGCTCAATGCTTAATTCAAAGGCTTGGTATTACTCTTGTGTTTTTTTTAGCTAAACAATTGTTCTTATTGTCCGTTAGCGGAGTTTCTTACCCTTTAAAAGGGTATGAACATTAATAGTTTCATAAATGTAAGAAGCCCTGTGAGACATGTGATGAGAAAAAAAACTGTGGAGGGGTCCACTGGGGGGACCTTCGGGCTTAACAATGGAATATAACAAAGTGTATCTCGAGCCGGTTTCTCAAACTTACCTACCCCACCTTTAAGCAATGACTATCAGACTAAAATTCCGCTATAATACCATTTTGTTTACGGATGATATTATATTTTTCCCAAACTTAGCTAAGAGGGAAACACTCCAATGTCTTCTAGGTAATGTTCAGAGTAGGATATTGAGGTGAAATGCTAATAACCATGGTGTATCCAACTTGACCAAAGGAATAGCATAATGGTAACAAAAACGAGTGTCAAATGGCTGAACATTAAGGCTGGGTGATTATATAAATACATACAAAAAAATGGTGGTAATATATTAATGACTAGAGCAATTTTTATTTCTAGATTTAGGATTTTATGAAGGTTTAAAGTGCATTATGCTTAACTGTAAAACACAATTAACAAATATTTGCATTTGTGTGCAATTTGTAATAACTATATTTTGAAATGTATGAACTCAAGTGTTTTCGTCTACAACAATAAGTGGCATACTGTAACACAGTGCTCGTATAAGGCCCAGAAGGGAGACTTTCTTTCTGCTGAAATAAATTGACTCCGTGCATCAGCATCACCCCCCCCCCCTGCTGCTGCATGGTACTCTGCTCTGTTGAAGCTACTGCAGGAGTAAAATTGACATCTCTGCCTCGGCTGTGATGAATAACTCTCTGTGACTGTTAGTGCAAAATAGTGTCGATAAAGCAGTTCCTCTGGCTTCAGTGTATGTTTTCTTTTTAGATGGTCATTGTCTCTGCGTAGGTTTATCCATCATCGCTGTCATATTGTTCACTAGTTGCACCTCCTCTGTTGTGCTTAGCTCCAGGTCAGGGATTTCCATGTCTCTGTTGTAATTGTCCTCCCTCCTCCCTTGCTCGCAGGAAGCTGGATGCCTTCATTTATGACGCTGCTGTGCTGAACTACATGGCCAGAAAGGATGAGGGCTGCAAGGTATAGATCTCTGTCACATTTCACAGCTCTGCACAGTGACACACTCACACATAGTGGCAGCTATTGTTGATGTCCCTCTGCCCTGCAGCTATTGTCATTTGCTACCAAGCTACTATCTGCTCTTCTTAAGGGAGTAACAGTTGCAAACCAGCATGCCTAAAGAACTATTTTACAAGCGCTACATCTGCATTAAATAAATCAAACATGCCAAATGCATTTATATTATTCCCTCGCTCCCTATAGCAACTTAATATTGTCATTTTTCGGACTGTGCTATTGTTGATTTATTTATAAGTCTGCATTTGATGCGGCTCCCATGGCAGAAATGAAATCCTGCCCTCTGATCATTTGAAATAAGATCTGCGGGAAGCCTGAGCTCCAAGCAGCATCACACAACAACCACTGCTGCAGTAATTATTCAAACTGATGTGGGTTTATATTAATTGCTCCACTGAAACAATACCCAATGCACAAGCTCTGGGATTTGTGGGTATATTAGAGCTGAGCCAACTGTTTTGCATGAAATGCCACAGGAGAAATTAAGCTAGTTTTCATTTGTTCCGTGCCGTCTGTCGCTTTGAATCTGACTGTGTCTTGATGAATATATGTGCTTGGGTTTATATGTGGGGAACTGGGGATGCTAATGTGTTTATGATTTATTCTACAAGGTGATGACTATCGGCTCAGGGAAGGTGTTTGCCACCACGGGCTATGGCATCGCTCTGCACAAGAACTCCCGCTGGAAACGACCGCTGGACCTGGCCCTGCTGCAGCTGGTTGGAGACGGTAAGACAGGATGAAGCGGGTTAGGGCCACATGCTCTGGAAATACCCCTGCAACAAATACATACAAAGACAATAAAACGATTATTTAGTGAAGTCCCATCTTGGGCATTTTTATCTTGTAGTTAATACTTTTTTCTGACATGTCAGACATACAATTATTTCATGTCTTTCAGAGGTGGGAAGTAGCGAAGTAAAAATACTTTGTTACTGTACTTAAGTACATTTTTCTGGTATCAGTACTTTACTCCACGACGACTTTTTACTTTTACTTCTTACATTTTTAACACAAATACCTGTACTTTCTACTTTTCTTACATTTTCAAAACAGGCTGGTTCCTTTAGTTTTTATCTGTGTTTGGTGGCGTGATCATTATTATTTAGAGTCATTATGTGCCTATTGATTTACACGATCCGTGTATCCATCATTTCCTGGTCTTCTCTAAAGAAGACGGACCAATGACAACTTTGTAATTTTGCCGTTGTTCAGCTTTGAAACATTCATTAGCTAACAATGACATTATTGTTCTATTAATATAAAGTGAGGTCAGTTACTCTTTAAAACAGCTGGTAGTTATGGTTACTTTTTACTTTTACAGTACATTTCGAAGCCCATACTTCTTTACTTTTACTTGAGTAAAGAAGTGTAGTCAGTACTTCTACTTTTACCAGAGTATTTTTAAACACGAGTATCTGTACTTCTACTCGAGTAAAGGACGTGTGTACTTTTGCCATCTCTGATGTCTTTTTTTCAAGAAAGAAACATTTATTCTGATGACATCCCATTATTCATGCTTTCTCAAACAACCTCTTTAGATTGGAAAATATCACCACCTCCCGTAACATACAGATGCAATTGTCTCCATGAATTACATTTTGTAATCTGCCCAAAATCTGAAAGTTCAGACCGGCCACATGCAACCAAGAAATGCATGAAAATGTAAAGTGCAGAAACATATTGAAGTATAAACAGAACAATGTTGTGCGTCCGGTGTATTCGGCCTTTTAGGGCAGAAGTCTCGGTGAATGGTCATAGGATTTCAACACAAGTGATTGTCTTGTATGTTGACTTCTTTTAACCACACACAATATTTATTATGGGTCATTGTTGGAAGGTGAGTATGTTGTTATCCATGTAATCCTTTCTTAATGGGGAAACATTTTTTTTATTCACTTGGTAAGCTGTGCTAATTTATCACAAAACTACTTTTACCTAGTTGGAGGAAGAGACAGAGGTCCAGTGCAAAGAGGCAAGTTATATTTGAAATATAAGTTTGTCATGTGATCACGTATTCAGCTGCTGGCTAAAGTTGCCTGCCCTTGTTATAGTAGTGAAATAACTTACTACTGTAAGAATTAAGGAAGCCAACAACAACTCAAGTAAGAATAGACAATATTTTCAAAATCAATGTTGACAAGGTCTTTGGTATATTTTATAAGTGAGATGTAATACAGCTTGAGTTCAAAGTTAGGTAGGAGTCAAAGATGGGAAAGAGGGATGGAAGAGGACAAAAGTTATGAAAGGGGAGAGACGGAGATCAATACAGGAAGGTTAAGGGGAGGAAGAGTAGAACAAAAGAGGAAGGCTGTGTGAAATGTTAAAGCTGTCATAATACTGCTATGTGCATTCCAATACCTATACTACCGTACTTAATGTCAGAAAATATTTGGCAGGGCTCTATACAGAGTATGTCAAAAGCAGTGTGCAAATGCCAGTTCAAACCGGAGAGACGTGATGTAAGAATTACATATTTATTGTTTACACGTCATATGAATGAAATGATTGCCATGATAATACAACAGGAGAATGTAATGTTGTTTGGCGATTAGGCCCCGGTTTGCAGGATAATCATTCAAGAGGGAAAGAACCACTCCGATGAAATCCCCGGGGTCTAGACACTGGTGGTGGTGATGAGTAGGTGAGACCGGTCTGAAGGAGGAAGGTTTAGCTTTGTCCTGAAGGAGACGGGAGGCGAGAGGGGTGGAGGCGGGTTGCGTGTGATCATCTGCAATGACAACTGACAGGGAGGAAGAGCAGGCATTTAAGGCATTTAGCATGTGCAGCGATTGGCTGCTGAGGCGTGACGCCCTCGTATTTAATGAGGGGGGAAGGGAGCCATAGAGTGACGTGTGAGTGACTCGAGTTAGGTCTTCCTTATTGAACTTGCGCTAAAGCTTTCATTAGGCATTTTTTCAGTATGACAGTAAACAGGCGTGCTTTTCTGGCCCACAATATTTGCAAAGGGTCATAATGATTGGTTCCTCGTTGACAAAAAATGCAACAAAGACAGAAATAAATGTTGTTTTATTAAGCATTTAAAGGTCTAATGTTGTTTGCGTAGCTTACTTCTAAAACAAAAGTTATGTTTTGATTATATTTGACTGAAATGCTTTCCACCGTTTACGCCGGTTACAATTATTTAATAGATCAGGAGCAAGAGAGGCATGATGAATCACTTTCACAAAGTGACCCTTACGGGTCACAGTAAATTGGTTTTCAGTTTAAAAGAACCCTCAATAATAACATAATAACCCTGTTCATTTGCTTATAATGGCAGACAGGCCTTTTAGCTTCTGCTGACTTCAGTGCTCAGTAAGGATAGAAACATTGATACAAAAAAAGGAAAAATCTAAATTGATCTCTATTTCAATGCATCACAAATCTTGCTACTTTATTTAACAACATTTATAAATGAAAAGTGTACATAGATGAGTATGTTTAAGTGCACTCTATCATTCATATATACAGTACAATATATTGAAAAAGTTAAGTGCTTATCCTGTTTTTTTAATACTCTCATTCTATTAGAAATTGTTCAGTTTAAAAAACAAAGACTATCTACATCTGTCCTTTATTCATGGCTGGCTCTCTTGTGATTGGTCCAATACTCAGAGATGACCCAACCCTCACGTACAATGTGTTGGAGCACTATAGCCAATGGAAGCAGCGAGTGTTACGTACTGTAGACCAATTATTCATAAACATTTAATCAAAATGGCTATAATTTAATGGTTTGATTCTGCAAAGGGTCTTTTAATTGTAAACTCTTTCTGGTGGAAACTTTGGGATTTTCGGGTTAGGGCAGGCTATTTACATAAATAAATTACAATACAGAAAATGGAAAACCCAAAAAGCATAATGGCTCCCTTTTAACACTGAAAACAAACAAAAATGAAAGTGAAGCTGTGCAAACTAACAACCCAAGTTAAATGTTACATCATGTTCTGATATTTCCTGGTGAAAAGTTGAAAAAATATAACTCTGTTGCAAACTTCAGGCAACTAAGAGCAAATTGTGGAAATTCAATAGAGAGTATTAATCAACTGGACGCACTGGAGCTGTAAATGACCTATTACCGTACATTTTTGGCTAATACTGTTTAGACTGATTGCGCCCTCCAAATTGTTCAGCCAGAAAAGTCAATAGTGAGCCACAGGAACCTCATAACCAACCCCACAGACATCACATGCATTTACTATCCAAAGCAAATGCACTATGGCCCTCAAAAGGTTCTGTAATTGTTCAGCATAATACCTCTCTTTGTTAGAGCATCGTCGTTTCTTTTTATAGCAAATGAATGGTCAGTCGTTCTCTGGGGAGCAATTTAGTCTGTTCGCAATTAGCAAGGCTTGATAATCGAAGTGGAAGACGCCTCAGAGCAGGCAGTGACAGCGGCACTGGAGGCTGCCGGCACGTGGATACTGAACATGCTAACTGTTAAATTGATTTAGGAGTGGGAGTCTTAAAAATAATCATCAGTATTTTGAATAGGGTGACACTACAATCACAGAATTGTTTGAAGGATAGATCTTTTTTTTAAGTATTAACAGTGACTTATCATGCTTATTTCCAGGTTCATACTTTTATTATGGCTTTGACAGTTTGCCAACTTTATAACCTCCGAAAGTCAACAAGCGCTCCGGTCCCAGCTGTGTGCACCCCCCAGCAGTTACTATCGGTTTAGGTCTTTTTATTTTGAGCTTCTAAAACATTAAAAAAGGGTCTAGAGTAGATGCACAGCAGTATATTATATAGTATGTCAAGTCCCACTTGTCTCCAAAAGACATCCAAGAAATACACCATCTTCAAAGTAATGCTGAAAAGGACCGAGGAATATGTGTTTCACCTGCTGATGTGGCACCTAATCTCAAATCCCACTGCAGCGTGTATCCAAAGTTCGCCTCCTTTCCACTTCTCCTTTGTGTCATTCACATTGATTCGTGCTGACTGAGCAAAGCCAATAATAACACCTCTCACAATAAAGAAAGATACAACGAAAAAGTGAATGCAAACAGCTTTCGGCTCTGTGGATAGAACATACTGTAGCAGTTCACCCTCGGGACATTTCTTTTTTCTTCTGATCTTTTCTGTTCCGATATTTGAGTCATCAGGGACCCTGATGCTGATTTTGATTTCATAGACTGAAAAAAATTGAGCTGCAAGTATTTGTCTGAACCTCCAATTTTGTTTGCATGTTTCATTTAGTTCCACATTCAAATAAAACCCAGAGATCATTATGGGTCAACATCTAAAAACAAACAAATGAAATGGCAGAAATGTTCATTGAAAAGTGTCCTGACATTGGTGTCATTTTTCTTTTGTATTATACTCTTACACAGAATCTTTTCAACCTTATCGCACTCAACAGAGACTTTTAAAACATTAACCTCCACTGACTCATTTGATATAAATGTTCCTCTCAATAAAAATGATTTGTATTCAGGCTATCTATGTTAAGTCCCCCTCATCAACTTCATTCCCCTTCACAGTTTTTTAGTTGGGAGAAGCCAGGGTCGAATAAAAAAAATAGTTGTTTGTTTGTTGGTTGTTCTTCACACGTACACAACCCTTCTCCCATCTCTTCCTCCCTTTGTATTTGTACCCTCTCTCAATTGGCTGTCCAATCATTATGTGCGCTTTTACAGGTCCGCTGACAAAAAAGCACTTTCAGTTTTCACAAAACCATTTTTTTCAGAGATATGGAAAGAGTGTGATGACATAGC